CACACCTAAGACGCTGGCGTAAGACGCTGAACGAGAAACAGTCAGCAACATCTTTTCGATCAATTTGACTTGTACACCTCCTGATCATTTGTGAGCACTAATTGGGAACAACAATGTGAGCTGGTACTACCAGCCTGATCATGTGACAACCGACCCCTCCAAGGCTTACATCATCAAAATAATCCACGCTATCCCTATATTAGCAAACCATAAACATGGCTACGGTCGGCCAAACACCGCCCGCGCGAAAACAGTCGGGAGTCGTCAAACGTTTGCTCAGATCAACAACCGCTTGGTCGTAAACTGTCCTTCACTATCACCATCCCATGCGCTTAGGATCTAGTTTCTTGGAGCTGGATCGAAGCCGCAACCATGAGGGTCACAGAGATTGTCATTGATGTGAGTATTTACTGTCAAGGTCGATGAATCAATTGAGTCGTTTATGGCTGACTTTGTTGCTGATAGGGCTTCAAATCGTACGCTGTGCGTACAGTTATCTCAGGATGGTATGCGCTTCTTTTGTGGCGGCTCTATAGATTGCAGGCTGTCGCCTACGGCCTTTTTTGAATATTTATCATTTTGTGCCACAACCGCTGGAAGGGAAGCTGACCATTATGCGCAGGGACGAATCATTCAACTCCATCACTGGGCTGAACGGCAGTGGTAAATCGAATATCCTGGATGCTATCTGTTTCGTTTTGGGAATTACGAATATGTCAACCGTTCGTGCGCAAAATCTTCAGGATCTCATTTACAAGCGAGGCCAGGCTGGTGTCACCAAGGCTAGTGTGACTATTGTCTTCGATAACCGGGATACTGCCAAATCGCCCATCGGATTCGAAGAGTATGCGACCATTTCTGTTACTCGCCAGATCGTCCTCGGAGGCACCAGTAAATACCTGATCAACGGCCATCGCGCTCAACAGCAGACAGTACAGAACCTCTTCCAGAGTGTCCAACTGAACATCAACAACCCAAACTTCCTGATCATGCAGGGTCGGATCACGAAGGTCTTGAATATGAAACCTGTGGAAATTTTGTCAATGATTGAGGAAGCGGCTGGTACGCGTATGTTCGAAGATCGACGGGAGAAGGCGGTCAAAACAATGTCCAAGAAGGAGTTAAAATTGCGGGAAATCGAAGGCTTATTGAAGGAGGAGATTGAGCCTAAGTTGGAGAAACTTAGAGCTGAAAAGCGAGCATTTCTTGATTTTCAGCAAACACAGAACGACCTGGAGCGGTTGACCCGGCTGGTGGTTGCTCACGACTACCTTCGAAGCGGGGAGCGGTTGCGAGTGACGGGCGAGGAATGCGAGAACAAAGGACGCAAGATGCAAGCGCTCGAGGAGAACGCCGTTAAGCTCAAGAACGAGATCTCTCACTTGGAAGAGGATATGAAACGGGTCAGAGCTGCTCGGGACAAGGAATTGCGAAAGGGAGGCAAATTCCAGGCTCTAGAGAACGAGGTCAAGTCGCATTCGCACGAACTGGTCCGACTGACCACGCAATTGGACCTTAAGAACGCCAGCGTCTCAGAAGAGCAAGAGAAGCGAGAAACAGTTAGAAAGACCGTCAAGGACCTCGAGAAAGTTCTCAAGGAAAAGAGGGAGGTCTACGACAAACTACAGGCTCAATATGATGCCGCAAAATCTGAACTCGACGCCCAGACAGCCGAAGTCGAACAGAAGGAGGAACTGCTTCAGACACTACAGACCGGCGTTGCATCCAAGGAAGGTCAAGAAAGTGGGTATCAAGGGCAGCTACAGGATGCCCGTAATCGCGCCAGTGCAGCGGCAACCGAACAAGAGCAGGCCAAGCTTAAGATCGCTCACTTGGAAAAGAGAATCAAAGAGGAGGAGCCTCGAGCCAAAAAGGCAAAACAACAAAATTCGGGACTCCTCGACGAACTGGAAGGCTTGAGAGCTCAAGCGAAGAAGCTGGAAGCAGAGCTCACAAGACTCKGCTTTGAGCCTGGAAAAGAAGAGCAGATCTACCAAGAGCAGTCGGAACTGCAAAAAGACATTCGAGATTTGCGCGAGAGAGCCGACGGGCTCAAGAGAAAAGTGGCAAATGTCGACTTTACTTACACAGACCCCCACCCGAATTTTGATCGATCCAAGGTCAAGGGCTTGGTTGCTCAGCTCTTTACCTTGGACAAGGACAAAATTCAGGCCGCCACTGCCCTGGAAATTTGTGCCGGAGGCCGTCTTTACAACGTCGTTGTCGACACTGCGGAGACTGGTACACAGCTTCTTCAGAATGGCAAACTGCGCAAGCGTGTGACTATCATTCCTCTCAACAAGATCTCCTCTTTCAGAGCTTCGGCAGAAAAGATCGGGGCAGCGCAGAATATCGCGCCGGGTAAAGTGGACCTCGCTCTGTCTTTAATCGGTTACGATGAGGAAGTCACCGCGGCGATGAACTATGTCTTTGGCAATACCTTGATATGCCAGGACGCCGATACCGCCAAGAGAGTGACGTTCGACCCGGCTGTGCGAATCAAGAGTGTCACGCTCGAGGGAGACGTCTATGACCCATCCGGAACGCTGTCTGGTGGTAGCTCACCCAACTCAAGTGGTGTTCTTGTCACCCTGCAGAAGCTAAATGAGATTACACGGGAAATGAGAAGCAAGGAACGGCGTCTCGCAGCCTTAGAAGACACCATGAGAAAGGAAAAAAAGAAGCTCGATACTGTCCGCGCTATCAAACAGGAGTTGGACCTCAAGAGCCACGAAATCAAGCTGACAGAGGAACAAATCAGCAATAACTCGTCCTCATCGGTAAGTTGTCCAACTGGGATTTGACTTTAGGCCTATCCTGACTTTGGAGCAGATTATTCATGCTGTCGAGGAAATGAAAGCAAACATCGAGCAGCTGAAAAAGGACATTTCTGACGCAAAAGCTCGTCAGGCCGAGGCGATGAAGGACATCAAACGAATCGAAAAAGACATGAGTGAGTTCAACAACAACAAGGATAGCAAGCTGGCAGAATTGCAAACTACGCTGGATTCTCTCAAGAAGAAGCTTGCCAAGAACTCGAATTCAGTCAAGGCCCTACAGAAAGAGCTCCAAAACTCGAGGCTTGAATCTGAACAAGTTGGCAGCGATTTGTCAGCGGCAGAGGAGCAGTATGCCGAAGCTGAGAATACGCTGAAAGCTCAGATGGAAGAGATCCAGTCCATGAAGCGCGAACAGGCCCGAGTCAAGGTTTGAAGAGAATACTCATGTGTCGTCTGCGTTAAGCTAATGCCGTTCCTTAGGACGCTCATGACATCGCCCAAGCGCAGCTTGAGGACGAGAGAGCCAAACTGACCGGCTTCGACGAGGAATTGCGTGAACTCGAGGAGGCAATCAATTCGAAGAACTCCCGGATCACCGAAGAGGGTCTTGAAATGCAGAAGCTTGGTCATCAGCTTGAGAAGCTCCAGAAAGATCAGCAGGCAGCTGCCCAAACGGTTGCGCACATGGAGGAAGAGCATGAATGGATCGCAGATGAGAAGGACAACTTCGGCCGCCCCAACACCCCTTACGATTTTAAGAGCCAGAACATCGCGGAATGCAAGGCTACCTTGCGAAATGTCACCGAGCGATTTCAAGGCATGAAGAAGAAGATCAATCCCAAGGTCATGAACATGATTGATAGCGTGGAGAAGAAGGAGGCCGCTCTGAAGAATATGATGAAGACTGTGATCAGAGATAAGCGCAAGATCGAGGAAACCATCATCAACTTGAACGAATACAAGAAGGAAGCTCTCCACAAGACCTGGACCAAAGTCAACAGTGACTTTGGTCAAATCTTTGCAGAGCTACTGCCCGGCAGTTTTGCTAAATTGGACCCTCCTGAGGGCAAGGATATCACCGATGGTCTTGAGGTCAAGGTGTCTCTAGGCAAGGTGTGGAAGCAGAGTCTGACGGAACTGTCTGGCGGTCAACGGTGAGTTTGACATCTGTGATGTGTATTCGCCGAAGCTGACATGTCGAACACTTGTAGATCGCTCATTGCCCTTTCACTGATCATGGCACTCCTGCAATTCAAGCCTGCGCCAATGTACATTCTGGACGAAGTTGACGCCGCGCTGGATCTGTCTCACACGCAGAACATTGGTCGGTTGATCAAGACCCGTTTCAAGGGCTCTCAGTTCATTGTTGTCTCTCTGAAGGACGGCATGTTCCAGAATGCCAACCGTATCTTCCGGACGAGGTTCAGCGAGGGGACCAGTGTGGTCCAAGCACTGACACCGGCCGATATGAAATAATGAGGGTTTCTGCCGTTTGTTTTCTCCTGTCTATATTCAAATGCTTGATTTTGTGTTGTTCAGGGATATGGTTTTCGAGTTGTGCTTGGGCTTACTGGTTCGGATATCGTCCGTGATCGGCCATACTGGATCTCGGAGGTGGTGTTTCTAGGGTGATATACATGGTTCTTGGATGAGTCTGCTTTGGTTCCTGGTGATGATGAATGCATAATGATGACTATTTCTCAATTCCTCAAAGGAATAGCTAAATGATGAGCATCAGTCGTCCCGTGAGGATGACGAGGATGACTTTGGAATATCCTGGCAGCCGTAATGAATACTGAGTCTGGCACATGTATTTCTTGTTCAGTTTCCATGCCAGTGACCACTTCCATTATCCAAATACCTCATTCTTGACAAGTGCCCAATATAGAACTACAACGTCCCCAATTTTGTGTTGCTTACGGGCCAATTAAGCCGTCTGTTCCGCTTGCCGGAATAACCACTATCAGATGTCTCCGAGTTCCGTCATCTGTCCACCGCCACCTTGCGGGTGAGCATCACTATCTCCGGACTTTAGTCATTTCCTGGCATCTGTTCGTTTTAATCGTCTTCCTAACGTCAAACCTGACAATTCCTTGGGTGGGCTAATTTATTACTTTCACTTAATATTATCTCTTGCATTACCTAGCCACGTGTCACGCGCAATACGTAAACTCTGGTCTTAACGCCAGGTCGCCCTGATCAGTCATTCAGCCGACAACAATGCCCGAGGAAGAACCATCGCTCAATATCCCGTCGCTGCTCACTCTAGCAGTCGTCTCTTTCTTCGTTATCAGATGGTTCCTTAAACGCGACGGTAGTCCCGATGCAGGCGGCCCCCGGACCCGTGGTCGCGGGAATATCGTCGACCCAGCCCAGGTGGAACAAATAGCTCAGATGTTTCCTCAGCTCAGCACTCGCGAGATCATGTGGGACTTGCAGCGCAATAGCGGGAATGTTGCAGCGACTACGGAGCGAATCCTCAGTGGACGTGGACTGGATATGGTACGTACCGGCGATTCCCCTATTTGTCTATCGCCCGCGGAATGCAGATGATGCGCTGTGCGGGCCCGTTTCGATTCTTATGAAGCGACTGAAACTAATGAGATGGTGTGTATAGCCACCACCCTCGTTCCAGCCTGCGATCGTTCTACCCTCTACTACTGCCGCTGCAGCAGCTGCGCAGCCCTCCTCGACATCCGGGGCTTCCCTAAAGCCCGACGGCCAGGATCTGATTTCTCGATATAACCTCAGCTCAAAAATCAGTGGTCGAGCCGACGCTACCAATGATCAATCATCGCAGAGATCGACGAGCAGCGGATGGTCGCAGAGCAAAGAGGAGCGACAGCGCTTGTTGCAGAAGCGGAGAGACGATATGATTTTGGCAGCTCGGAGGAAGATGGAGCAGAAGCAGCGGCAGGCTGACAATGTGTCGACCTGAGGGGAATGGGGAAAAGAGATTTTACGATCTTCATTTCGCATTTGTAAGGATACTCTTCCGTTGTTCTTTGCTCATTCTTATGCGGTGTGGGACATTATACCATTTCTTTCTACTTGTCCTTCTAGCCAAGTTGGAACCTATAGGTTCAATCCAGGCAGTTTCTTGTGAACAATATGTCTGTGTCTTTGCAGTCTGAGCGTCGCATGTTGATGGTGTTTGGTGGCAGGATATTTGCAATTGCTTGGAAAATATAGGGTATATATACAGTTGAAACTCGTTCAATCGCAATAGCTTGCGCCGTGTGTGTCCTTTCCATAACTCCATAATGCAAGGAAAAAGCGAATTGGAAAAAGGGCTCTAGAACTCCATCTCGTCTTCATCGTCCTGGGTAGCATCATATCCCCCATTGGCCATCTCTTCCGCCATCTGCTCCCGCCGTGCTTGCTCTTTCGACGCACCGATTTTCCTAGACATGGTGTCAGTTGTTTCTTCTCTCCCCCGAACCAAGCAGGGTGACCGCCATACCTGAGTCCATCTACGACCCCTGTCACGAATCCTCTCGACTCACCAATCTCCATCGCCCCAACACCCGTGAGAGCCACTCCACCTCCGCCGGTGGCAGCAGCATCCAAGACGTCCACACCAGAGCGTATCTTCGCCATACGCACCTCCCGCAGCTCCTTCAGCAACCGCCGTATCTGGTCCGGATCCACCAGATCGTCACTCGCTGCGTCGAGAAGCATATTGCCCACCTCCAACCAATGGTACGGTAATGACGGGGGCTCGCCAGTTTGTGCATTGTCCTGCGCGATATTCTGCGGTAAGAATGGCGGCGAAGGAAAGTATCGCTGGCCATCCGGCGTATGACGCGCCTTGGCTATCGGTCTCTGTCCACGGTTGCGGTCGCGGAGGTTCGGCTGCCCGGGCAGCGGGGGAGGCGGGGAAAAAGCATTCTCGTATTCGTGATGTTGCGTTTCGATCTCGAGGATCAGGGAGAGGGGCTCAGGGTGAAGCCATGCGGGGGGAAGGATGTTCGCGCGGCGCTGGCGTTTGAGGAGTAGGGCTAGCCACAGCGGGAGGGAGGCGCGGCGGGGAGGTAGGAGCGGTTCGACTTGACCCTGTTTGAGGTGTGTTTGTTAACTCATAAATCGAGCCATGCTTGCCGAGTTGATTATGCTCTCTGGTTTGTGTATTGTACCAAGTCCCTGGCGCGCAATGCCCCGACATGGATCTCCCCGCACACGCGACATATAGGGGAAGATAGCCATTTCGACGGCGCATAGCAGCAAAGCAGACTGTCCGGCGACTTACACCTAACAATTCGAGGCCCTCCAAGCGTTGACGAGGGAGAACTGTCACCATCTCCATCTCCGCTAGAAAGGCAATCTCCGGGGGCGTGATGCCCCGCGGAAGAGGAAAGGCCATTGAGCCTCAGGTTTTGTGATCCAGGGAGAATTTGGACGGATGGCTATTGATGGGCAAGGTCCCTCTGAAAGCGAATTATCGCATCGAGTCTCTTTTGAAATTAAGGAAATGTAATTATCCTCTGGTGTATGCGCTTTGGCTCTTTCATCGTCCGTTTTGGGAAATTGTCAACGACGATGTTTGAACCGTTTGCAACTCGAACTATTTACTGGAGCTTGGATAGCTTTAAGCTCTATCCACGGAGATTAATTACCACACTTCTCTCCTTCATTCGCTTCACACTAGTGACCTTAATTCTCGAGTCTCATATGAGATATAGACGCCATGAGTGCTGTGCGGCCTGTATCAGGCATTTCTCGAGCTGCTCGATATGCGGTTCCTTTTGTGCTCCTGCTGATACCGCTATGGATGGCGAAGGTGAACACTGTTGTTCCGGATCCGTACCTCGACGAGGTTTTCCATGTCCCCCAGGCACAGGCGTACTGGGATCATAAGTGGTTCCATTGGGACCCTAAAATCACGACTCCGCCAGGACTCTACGTCTGGTCTTACGTCCTTTGTGCTGCTGCGCTAGCACTCCGTGGCTCCCCGACGGAGCTCAATGCTGAAGCTCTCCGCGCTACCAATGTCGCAGCTGCAGCGGTCTTTCTTCCCTGGCGGCTGCAGACTCTTTTGGATGCATTGCGTAAGGTGCGCAATACGCGCCCTTCCGGAGCTTGGTTGAGCCATACAGTGCTGAATATTTGCATTTTCCCACCCCTGTTCTTCTTCTCGGGGCTGTATTACACGGATATCGTCTCCCTCCTTGTGGTCATTGAAGCCTATAATTGGGATATCAAACGTACCGCGGGGTCCGGATCACTGCTCAAATCGGCAGTTTTTGTTGTGATCGGATTGGCGGCTCTTGTTCTTCGGCAAACAAACATCTTCTGGGTTACCGTCTTTCTTGGGGGGCTGCAGGTGGTCCGGAAACTTCATCAGTCAGCGAAAGCCAGCCAGGCCTCAAGCCCGATCGAAATAATCCAAAGCGGTTTCAACAACGAACTGTACGACCCGCTTGTGTCAGAGGCTTCCTTCTTTGGTGAGTGTTTTTCCTGGCCATCTGGACAACGCGTACTCATTGAGATGAAATCCAGACTATATCAAAACATCAATCTCGCTTGCTTCAGTTGGTCTGAAGAACCTCTTCCCCGTGATCGTCTCAGTCATTCCTTATCTCGTCGTCCTTGCAGCCTTTGGTGGGTTTGTGCTCTGGAACAATGGAGTTGTCCTGGGTAAGTCTTGTAGGCCTGAGTTTGTGGATGTGTGACTGATGACGTTCTAGGACACAAAGAGTTTCACACAGCAGGTCTACATCTCTCGCAGATGCTCTATATCTGGCCTTATTTCATGTTTTTCTCCTGGCCCATCCTGGTTTTTCCAGTCATCAATCTCGTGCTTCCAAGCTCTGTGATACCGGCATTCTTTGACTATGGATTTACCAAAAAGCAAAAAGGGCTTCCCAAAATATTGACAGCCTTGGTCATCCTCTCCGTCATGCTGACTGTCGTTCATTTCAACACCATCATCCATCCGTTCACCCTTGCCGATAACCGTCATTATATCTTCTACGTCTTTCGTATTCTCCGCTCGCATCCAGCTATCAAATATGCTGCTGTTCCTGCCTACTTTCTTTGTGGCTGGGCTGTCATTTCTGCATTTGGATTCTCCACCGCCAAGCCCCAGCCTCAGTTTGTCCCAATCACAAAAGCAGGCGAATTGGCTGCTGCTCAGAAAGGGCAGTTGAAGGAGACTGCGCACAAGAAAGAGAAGGCCGAACGCAAGTCCAAGTCCAAGTCAAAAAAGGTTAGCCAAGTGACGGCATCGCCGCCCACCCAAGAACAATTCTCTCCCGAGGTTCTTGCCCGAATCCAGGAGCACCTCGTCCAGCGTCAGAAGCAACAGCAGGACGCCCCACGGGCGAGCTTTGTGCTCGTCTGGCTTGCAGCCACGGCACTATCGCTCGTTACCGCGCCGCTCGTTGAGCCACGCTATTTTATCATTCCCTGGGTAATGTGGCGGCTTCATTTACCCCCACAGCCCGTGCCTCATGTGTACCGGCAGCAACGGCCTCGTGATGAGCGGGAGGCTCTGCACGCCGATTTGGCAACTAATTTCTCCTTGTTCATGGAGACGTACTGGTTCCTGGCCATCAACGCTGCCACCGGGTATATCTTTTTGTACAAGGGTTTTGAATGGCCACAAGAGCCGGGGAAGATTCAGAGGTTTATGTGGTGAATCTCTACTGCTTTCTTTTTATATCATTCTTAATTGTGTTAGTACCGGTCATTTCTGTAATCATTAGACGGTCTTGTATATATAATGGTGTTGTAATATAGACTAAATATCAAAAGTTTCCTCTATGAAATCGAAGTCCCTTGCGAATGGCTTTGAACTGTTCATGTGTTGGGCTGGGACTGCGATTGCGATTGCGGCAATATGACAATTAGTGTCAACCTCAGCGGAATATGTTCAATTGCCAGAAGTGGCCATCCTCATTTCGTTTCAGTCCTTGCATCCGTTCGTCTCATCAACCACGCATTCGTACCCGGGTTCTGCACCGGAGTTCTTAATCTAACTCGACCGTCGATGGTGTGTCGATGGATCAGCTTGTCATCTTGTGTCCAGTACATTTGGTTTGCCGTACAGCTATCCCCGTCTATCACACTCCGCCCACCTCAAGTTTGGCTTCAAACCAGAAAGTCAACCTGGCGCTTTTCTTCATCTATCATCTACTACGCGATGGAAAAAGAAGACCGCCCGGCCAAGAGGGTCAAATTATCAGCTATTGATGAGCAGCCAGAGCCCACTGAAGCGACTCCGACAGCCGTAGCAGATGTTTTGGTATCCTTGCACAGATCCATCACTCCTCCTCCATCCTCACGACCTCGTAGGGAATCATCTGTGCCTCGAACCTCCATTCACTCTGCAGAGTTGACTAGTGGTCGACAGCGGTTGATCCCATCTCCCATCCAGCTAACTCATATCCGGGACCTCTCTGCTGCCTCAGGCAACAATGTCGATACGATTCGGTTGAAAGATATCCTTGGGGATCCCATGATCCGAGAATGCTGGCAGTTCAATTTCTTGTTTGATGTGGACTTTCTGATGAGTCAGTTCGACGAGGATGTAAGACGCCTGGTGCGGGTCAAGGTTGTCCATGGATCGTGGAAGAAGGATGCGCCGAATCGGATTCGGATTGAGGTATGCTTCTCCTTATTTCATCTTGCAAGAGTTTCAGCCTGTGTGATGAAGATGTTTACCAAAGCAGGAAGCATGTCCTCGATATCCGAATGTTGAGGCGATAACTGCCTACATGCCCGAACCGTTTGGGACACATCATTCGAAGATGATGATCCTACTTCGTCATGACGATCTTGCACAGTATGTGATACTGGATTCACTTGCTTTTAGCTTTACTGACTGAGCAGAGTTGTCATTCATACGGCTAATATGATACCCGGCGACTGGGCAAATATGTGCCAGGCCGTCTGGCGGTCTCCTCTGCTCCCGCTGCGAAAGACTGAAAGGGAACCGGAGGGGCCTGGAGCCGTCGGCACCGGGGCAAGATTCAAAAGGGATCTCATCGCCTACCTGAACGAATACGGGGTCAAGAAAACAGGGCCCCTGGTCAGACAACTCGAGCGGTTCGACTTTAGCGCAGTTCGCGCCGCTTTGATCGCAAGCGTCCCTTCCAAACAGAAGCTCAGCTCTCTGGACTCGCGGAAGAAGACCCTATGGGGATGGCCAGCTTTGAAAGAAGCTACTCGCCAGATACCTCTGGCGCCGAAGGGGAACAGCCAAACTGTGCCGTCGCATATTGTCACCCAGGTTAGGACCGGCCTCCTTTTTATACGATCAAGCTCTGACAGCCAGTAGATCTCATCCATAGCTTCCCTCGGACAAACAGACAAGTGGCTCAAAGACGTCTTCTTCGCTTCACTTTCGCCCACTTACTCGACGGCGGGTATCCCCCCACCGAAATACTCCATCATCTTCCCTACTCCCGACGAGATCCGCCGATCTCTAAACGGCTATGGATCCGGCGGATCAATCCACATGAAGCTGCAAAGCGCCACACAACAGAAACAACTGCAATACATGCGGCCATATCTGCGCCACTGGGCCGGAGACGGTGACAGCAACTCGACCAGTACTCCTCAACGGGAAGCTGGCCGCCGCCGCGCGGCACCCCATATCAAAACGTACATTCGCTTCTCGGATGCGGAGAAGATGAACACGATCGACTGGGTGATGGTGACGTCCGCCAACCTGTCTACTCAGGCGTGGGGAGCGGCCGCCAACAACGCAGGCGAAGTGAGGATCAGCAGCTGGGAGATTGGCGTCATGGTGTGGCCGCAGCTTTTTGTTCAAGAACGGGATACCCCCGAGCGACACCAGCAAGCGGTCATGGTTCCGTGCTTCAAACGCGACCTTCCGCTGCACCCTCCGAAGGATGTATCAGACTGCGATGTCCTCGTCGGGCTCCGGATGCCATACGATCTCCCCCTGACCTCCTACAAGGCCGACGAAGTCCCATGGTGCAATACAGCTGCCCACACCGAACCAGACTGGCTGGGGCAAACATGGGAGGGGTGACCCTACAGTCTACAGTGCATACAACAGAAACAATCCAAAGCTCATATCACGCGTAAATTAACATTCTTAATACTCCATAGGTAGCGTATATCCTCCCAAGTAGCATCCACCACATCCACATAATCACGCACGGGTGCCGTACTTGTTGATCAAATCGTTCACCTGCTTGATATACAGAGCCTGAGCCTTCTGCGCACTGATGTGGCTAACCTCCTTCCAGGCATTATACTTGTACTTGGCCTGGTAACGTATCATTAGCCCTGGCCCCACCTTCTTCATCCGCAGAAAGCAGCGAACATACCTCTATCTGATAAAACGACGGCTCAGCAGGCTTCTCGCCCCTCGCCTGCTTGAAGTACTTGTACAGCTAAGAATCGTCAGCATCGCACTTCACCCAGTCACTCTGCTATACCAGGGGTGCAGTCGAAGACATACCCCCAACTTCTCCTCCGGCCCGGGCTCCGTCTCCAGCATCTTGATCAGTTCCGTCGCGAACTCGAAGCCGGCTTTCAGGGCGGCATCGTTCCCGGCTGCGGTTGCGTCGTCGCCACCGGCGAGGACGGCGTCGAGGGCAGCCTGCAGAGCGGCCTTGTCGATGGAGGCCGCGGCGGACTGCAGGGCGGGGGTGAATTTCTCCTTGGAGGCGGCGGCGTCGAAGGAAGTGAAGAAGTCGGTGAGGGAGGCCATTTTGATTGACTTGTTTCTGTTTCTGTTGAGCTGATGGAGTAGATTGGATAAGTGTTGTAGGTGCTTGGATTAGGGGAAAGTGAAGTGGTGAGGGGTGAAAATAGCGGAGGTGGGATGGATGGTGGGGTTGATTACCAGAATCCGTTGGGGCAGTACGGAGTAAATAAACAGACTCTTACAGACTACAGATGTGCTACGTCAGAACTCGGCAACTTCTATGTAGTTTGACAAGCCTTAGACTAGTATTTATTAGGTAGATGCATGTGAATACGTCAGTTGATATAGTTCCATTTACTAAGCCATTCAGAATGTAGACATGCGCATTATGCCAAGTCATCTCGTCACATGAAAGCAGTGACCATGAGGACAGTAATCCAAAAATTATGCCAAATTTCACAAAATCATCCATGCACAGTGCTCACTGCGTGCCATCCCAGACGCCATTTGATGCAGAAAGAGAAAGAGAAGGAAAAAGAAGAAGAAATAGGAGAGGAACAGCAGCGGGTATCCCGGCTCGCAACTCGTAGAATACATCGGAAGAAGAGGAAAGCAAAAACAACAGTATATCATGATCTACCAGTCCACAGCCCAGCCGTTCTTGTTGAGGAACTCCTCGCACGCAGCTTTCAGCGCATAGTTGGGCCGAAGATCGTTGACCGTCATGGGCACTCGGGTGATGGGGTCAACACCAGACTGTTCGACGTATTTGTTGATTCCAATGCGATCGAAGCTGGTGCCGCTTGGTGTGATGACGGGATCATGCATGATCTCAAAGGTGATCCCGTCAATCAGGTAATCGGGGACGACCTGGAGCAAAATCGTTAGATACCCTCCCCACAACGAGGAACACTCTCCCCACAAGGATTGCCACTTACCCTCTCCTGGATATCCCCATTGGACGCGATGCGGAAGGCCTCCCGGACATTTTGGATATTCTTCTCCGCATCCGCACGGAGCGCCTTCTGATCCTCCACGAACCCCGTCTGTCCGATCTCGCCCTTGTCCAGTTTGGCCTGCAGCTCCGCAAGCTCCCTGTTGAGATCGGCCTCGATCAACGACTCCACCGTCGCCAGCGTATCATTCATCTCCCGTAGCCGGGCAGTCTCCTTTGCAGCCCAGATCTGCTGCTTGGCCCGCAGGACCGTCTTGGACAGATTCTCCGTCTGCGCGCTCTTGGCCGCCAGACTCGCCCGGTAGGCATCGATGGCCACCTCGTATGCCTCCTGCGGGCGCCCAAGGCCCAGGAGCGCCTGCGCGAGGTACCAGCAGCTCTTGAGGCTCTGGGGGTTCTTGAGGCCGTACAGCTCAATCGCCGCGCGGGCGTCGTGTTCCACGCCCGCCCATTTCTCCAGCCTTATCCGGGTGAGGGCGCGGTTAGTAAAAAAGGTGGGTTCGCGCGGGTTCTTCTGGATACTACCAATTCACGAAAGTCAGATCTGCTTGGCCATGCTATGGGCAACGGGGATAATCACGCTTGAGAGTAGAGCTCCTCCGCACCATTATAGTCACCTTCCTTGAAGAGCTGGTTGCCCTTCTCTTTCAGTTCGAAGGACATGCCGGGTGATCGGATATTCGGGGTATATCACAGTAGATGAAGCGATGGAGTCTATGACTCGGTGAATTGTGATCAGTCAACGCACCTAGACGGACACCGATCACAGTGGGGCCGCTCTTCGGACTTCAGTATCGACTATCGAGGCTGCTCCACAGGCAACAGGCGCGTTAGACCCAGACTTAGAGTAACCGAAAAAAAGGTCGAGCGGATGCAATCGAAGAATCAGTACACTGAGGACAATGATTCTATATGCATAGTCTGGGGTGTCCCGTGGTAAGATCTATTAGGCGGATACAGGCCCATAGAAATGCAGGAGTGATGCCTCACGCTGGAGACGAGGAGCAGGATGTCGTTATCCATCTCTTATAATTATGGATGCTCCTGGAATTTGATGTCT